ATGGCGTTTTCTAGCTCCTTCGCATTTTCTGAGTCAGTAGGCGTCATTCTAGAGGTCATATTAAAAAGCTTTAGGATTGTAGGATCCTGCAGTTCCTTTTTCATAAGTGAGATTGTTTCGGGTATACATTCAAATGAACTTAATTTCGTTTTTAATTCATCAATCTGTAGCTGCATCTCTTTAATAATGCATGTTAAGTAAGAGAGCTCCACTTTTTCAGACAGAACATCTTCCACCTGTATTACAGGGGTCAGAGTTATGTTCGAGTCTTTTCTGTTGGGTGAACTACTAATAATAAGGGGTGGTAATGTGTTATTAGACGAGCTGGTGCTATTTTCTAAATTACTGGTGTTCACACGAACACTCTTTTTAGAATTTCGGCCCATCGTTATTAAAGATTGATCAACAGTAAGCAATAAATGAATATAAACGAAAACACGTGCAAAAAGCGTCACCTGGTTCGAACGTACCGGGCTTATTATCCGTCATGTCTGTCTACGAGGATCGAGTAGTAATTAATGTACGGAAAATGGAGGTAGAATTCCGACGCCCGAGGAAAGTCGAAATCAATGCCATCTATTAAGGTAGAATTTCGTCAGTTGCTGCCTATCTCCTCTACTAGCATGTGTCCATTGTCATAGAAAATTGAATATTAGCTACCTTGCAACTTCATCCAAAATCTTACTATGAGTAAAGTATGAGGTGACAAAGCAAAACTTCTACCGTGACCTAGGTAACACATTGCGTCTTCATTTTGGCAGGATTTCCAGTATTCACGTTAGACAATATATTTAATCAGTTACTGCTGTTTGACTACAAGCCATTGTGACTGATGGATTGGAAATTAGATAAACAATACAATCATCGGACTTAATATTGTATTTTCAAAATAGTCTAGCTGCTTTTAGATTCTTTCGGAGTGAAATGAACATGTAGTGACGTTCGCTTATTCTGACTTATTATCTGTTGTACGTTTGTTTAGAATAATGCGATTTGTGAGGATAAGTTACCTTAATAAAACATTTATGAATGGTCTTGGTATGTGTGCCTGTTGTCAGCATTCATATACATAATAGGGGTGCGTTTGGCGTAAGGAGGAGAGCATGGCTACCAATATATTGGTCTTGATTTCGTAATTGTGTAAAGGGTGATTCATGGTATTTACATTCACCGAATCAACACACACCTCTTACGTTCTATGCGAGAGTTACATGCGAAAATAGGTAGCCATATATGTTTACTCATTTTTGTACAGCTTATGGAACTGTATGACTGATAGAAAGTAGCGAATTAGCTTCGTGTTTAGCCACTTCATCTTTCAATACTTTCATCAGAAAATGGTGAATAATAAGCAGAATGAAATGATCGATCTTTATGTAAAAATGCAGGAAATCGGATAAGCACTACATTTATCAGACTTATGATTGCCTTTTCATAATAGTCTAGGCCGTTTGAGATTCGTTTGAAGTAAAGAGAACATGTAGTGACATTGGCTTATTTTCACGTGTGATGTTCCGTATGTTCATTTCGAAATTAAGGATGTTGGTAACATTGAACAAGCAAAAATGAAACCTTAAGGTTATAGTGTAGGAAGAAGAGGCGAAATAATTCTTACGTCCACACGACACATCTAGACTTAGAAATAAGGAGAAATAGTTCAGTTAGGCGACATTGTTGCTCGATATCATTCACTGGTCTGTACAATTGCATCGATGTGTGTATAATTATCCTTGTGTTTATGTCGTTGTCTGTGACGAAGGAGGTCAGTTCGGAATATCGTTCACTTGGCCGAATTATTTGGGAATCGCAAAGTATCATCCAAATGTAACTGTGTGTGTGTATGTGTGAAGTTTCGTGAGACTAGACTATAGACTCTGTAACAGGAAAAAGGCGGTCACAAAATTAGCTGTTTAAGTCAACAACATATATGCAAGTACCGAAGCATATCGCTAAGCAGTTGGACAGCGTGAAGAAATGTTTAGTTGTGCTAAGATTGATAGACGACAAAACAGTAATGACTGAGAGATATTGTCGAGAATTGCATTGGAAATTCGGAGTAGATCCGGACATAAATAGAAGAAAAATCCGTTACAGTTGTAATTAGATTAATATTACTTGACGACTGATAGCAGTATGGTGTTAGGCGTTCGTAGTCAGTTTTCATTTCTGAACTGAATACGAAATAGCAATAGACAATTGTGGTATATATTTCGGAAGTATACCGTCATTCCTGACTTCCTCGAAAGATTTCCGGGAGCATATAAGTTACACCAGTTACCACCTAATGATCATTTTGAGTAAACATGGGTAATGTGTTTTAATGGAATTCTGATGACTGAGTGAATTTCGAAATAATCACAAAGTGGTCACTAATTTCTCTCACACTTTATTCCGGCTAATTTGTTGTTATTTAAATTGTCTCTAGTGAGGCGAAATTTATCCATGGTTATCGGAAATAATTTATTGTTTAGTGGAATAGGATGTGTCTTCTATAGTTGTCTTACTGATCTAATATTATTGAGGGGATTATCATGACAAAACATGCTCCTCTCTGTTAACTCAATAGATTCCATATGACTATATTATTATCTTCACTTTCCATTTTTCTTATTGATAATCAGGTAAAAAATATCGGTGTGACATATGTGGGAAGGAATCCACTCAAGCTGGTCATCTGAAGAAACACATGGAGTCAGTTCATGTGACGCATGTGGTGTTCATTTTATGGATTCGCCATTTCCGAAATTCGATGTTATGTGAAAATGCAGATTTGGGCCAAGTGCGAATGACCTAGAGATACAATATACGTCCATTCCTCGAGTTGAATAGTGTGGCCGATCGGTCGATTCAAAATAAGCCCTAGGCGCTGAATTCCCCAACATGAAGTTGACCGCAGGGTTTAGAGGACCACTATTGGTAGCTTGGTGGCTAAGATAGCTGAGAATAGCTAGTATTAACTGCAACAGGGAAGCGAAACGCGATCAGGAGAGCCTCGCGTGCGTGTGGATTTGTGTGAATGGTTAATAATTTCTGAGTGCTCCCACAGTGGAGGTTGGTTTCTTCTTGGAACATCTGAAGGAGAATGAGCATCAGTGTTAGGGGACGCCAGAATGCAGGGAATAAATGTGTGAGACGGATTTCACATGGTTTTGAGAGTTTTGTTGGTGTCCAGTTCTCTCTGACGACAATATACCCCTTCAAGTTAAGTCAGTGTGTATACTTTTTGGAGCTAATATATTCTATCGTTCCCTCTAGGAGAAGAGAGGCAATGTAGCTGGATGATGATTGTTCGAGGGAAACGCCATTATTCTGTCAAAACCTCGACATAAGAGCTCATAATTTCAGCGTCAGATCCGTTATCCTCGCACCACTTCCTATGGAATCAAGCTAATTTAAGTTGGGTGGGTGGTGGAAAATGTTCATTGAAGCTTAACAAAGAACAGAGGTTTCCAACTCAAACCATGGAGTCAGCCCAAAGAGATAATGTGGCTTGCAGTAGACGGTGTACAGGGTATTGTATGTTGAAGTCCATTACACAACATTGGATATTGAATATTGTTTAAGCTGTCATTTCGTGCATTTGCGCCAAACTTTGAAATGGGGGAATTGCGTAGACAGCGCATTTTGGAGAATCTAGAACTGCTGGAAAAATCCACTAGTTTGTGTTGATTTCAACTGTTTTCATCTTGCCCATAGAAATCAACACAGACCAGTGGATTTTTCCAGCAGTTCTAGATTCTCCGAAATGCGCTGTCTACGCAAATCCTCCACTTCAAAGTTTTGCTTACCACTGTCATGTAAGTTACATTACATATTTTAACTATGTGGTAAGGGAGAAAAAGTGAGCCTGACTCCGAATGTTCATATTCGTTATTTCATACAGACGATTGGATTCAGTTCCACGTTTTTACAAATGTCCATTCAATTAATCAACTACGTTTCTTTTCATCTTGTAAAAAACATTCAAAAGTAAGCCGGAGGCGCTATTCATCGCAAATTTAGATTAGCCTTGTATATACCGATAAAGAAGACCACATGACCTATTATTAATAGAGATTTATATTTCCTATTGAGTATAAAACAAGAACTGTTTTGTTTTAGCTATCAATCATTGGAAAATATAAATCTCTAACAATAGTGAATATTATTCTCCCAATGCCCGGTTTTTTGGACCTTCTGAATACCTAATCCATCAATTTACTAAAAGTGTCCAGTTAATGAATATGTCTGAATTTGCCTTAATTGTCATTTTCTTTTAACTTAGTTTAATATAAAGAATTCTGTTCCACATAAATGACTCTATGTTTTATAGTTGTCAGAAGTTGAAAGTCATGGATTATTTAACGAAGTGGCTGAAAGGTAAAGGTGTCTGACTTGTAACTTGTAAGCCATGGGTTAGATTTACGATGTGGCCTATGGATAATCGTAGATTCAGCTAAACAGGACAAAGTGGGGACTGGTCAGAACCCAATGTAATAGTAATGATAATAGTCTAGAATTTGACCTTTGGTCTGGCCATGGGTACTTACTGATGGAAATAATTAAGCTAAGGCGAAATTGCTGTCACTTGCTCTTTCAATGATTGTCTTACTGATATCTTTTCTTGAGGATATGTATATTGGAGTTAATCGAAATCCCTACAAAACTCAAAATTTCAAAAGTAATTGAATTTTAAAAAAAAGCCTACATAATCATGGAATGCAAATAAGTAGCATTGCTTTACTAAAATGGAAGGTTCGCACACACACTAATTCAGTTCAATTGAACAGTTAAGAGTACACTCCGCCTGAATATTGTTAGTTAAAGTAATCCAAAGGTTAAGACCTAGAAACTGTTATTGAGTAATGATAAATCAAAATAGTAACCAAATTTACCGATTAAGCTGTATTGATAGATACAAAAATTGTACTAATACGTAAAATAACTGAAATTTTTTGCTTCCTATGTTACCGATCCAACTGGAGATTAATTTTTTCACTCTTTCCCTGACAACTTTTCAGAACTACTGTCCCGTTTGCATAAATTAACCTCAAGTTGTCTTGAGACGAAGGATTCAAGAAACAGTCCATCGTCTTCAGATACAGTTAGCCTACAGTTCAACAGTCCAATTTCATCAACGAGATCTGATTACAAAGCTGAACGTCAAGAAAATCAATTGGTTTATCCTCTTGCAACCAGTATCATTCCTTCACAAATAAAAGAGTTGAACCAAAATCCATCCAATACTTCATATGAACACTCAATTGAAAGTTCAGACTTTTGTACAAAGATGGATACGAGACTAAGAAGTCCCCTTAAGATGAATACTTCAGAGTCATTTTCTTGCTGTATTCAACCAATTAATAAGAAAGCTGATTTTCTATGTAATAAATCCTCCAAACCTCATACCTTTCGATTACCATTAAAATATCGTTGGTCACAAATGAAAAATCAAAATATATTCAAAGTTGAAGATAAGAATGATTACAATTCCACCAGTCAACAGAATTTATCGTGTAGAATCAATGATCGATTTATTTTTGAACCCAAATGCCCTAAATTCATTGATGATCATGATCTAGTTTCAAACCAATGGGGTAGTGTTACTGATGATCAAAAAGAAAATATTCGACAGATTATTAGTGAACAAAATGTTTGGCGACCATATTTAAGCTGAATGTGTTATTTTTTTGCAATTTTATCCATCTTATGTACAGAACAGATTTATAAAGCTTATTTATTTAATTATCAAATTTATTTTTGTAAAGTGATTTTCATTCAGATGAATTATACAGTCGTATTATCCAGACTTGACTTATGAGGAACCTGAGATTATCTTCCTTTCAGGTATGATCGATATTCAAATGTAGGAGTTAATGAATATTACATTGCATTGTTTAAGTAGAAAGTATGTATAAGCGTTATAGATTGGTAAGAATTTTGCTTAATGTTTAGAAGGTGTTGTCTAGGAAGCTGGTGATTGAGTTGTTATGTCTGTTGAAACTTCACAACGGGTATATGCAGTATTTCACTTATCAGGCTTAAGGATATATGAATTAATAGACCAATAATCGCAGTTATTAGCTTGATCAGGCTTTAAAAGTTAGTTTCTGATTAATTTTACTCAATTCATAGTTAGACATAAGTACCATTTAGGGACTGACTTGTTACCAGTAGACAGTCTCATCAACTTACGCGGATGATATCGTTGTTTTAGGTGAAAACACTGACGAAATGCAGAGTCTTCTGAACACCTTGAGTAGCAACTTCTGAGTGTTTGGCATGCGATTCGATCCTGTCAAATGTAAGATGATGCTGCAGGACTGGACTACACCGACTCCTAGCCTTTAGATACAGAATGAAGTAGTAGAGTATGGTGACTTTCACTTATTTGGGAAGTTGAATCAGCTCCAGCTGATTGGTAGCTGACGAAATCTCAGCACGGACACAAGGTCACCTTACGTCACATCTGGAGAAGACATAATGTCTGGTTATCGATCAAAGGATGTGTATTGCTCAGTAGTTCGTACTATCCTTCTTTATGGTTGTGAGATATAAGTAACGAAAGTGGGAGGTCTGAAAAGGCTAACTGTCTGCGTTATACCTGCGGTGTTAAGTTGTATGATACTTCAATTCATGTCGAGGTTAGGTGAGGAGGGCGAGTCAGTCGATGTAGTTTTGAACCTACATTGGTTGAGAAAACTAGAACATATGCTATGCATGCTGATCTACAATTGAGCAATGTTATATGACATAAGATGAGGTTGGAAAAGATTTGGGGTTGGTCAAACCAGAACATGACACAAATCAATGAAGTCTTTGACAGTTGGTTTGAGTCATATAGGGAGGTGTAGACTGCCTGGTTGGGATCCTCGAGATGCTAAGAACGAATGGCTTGAGGCTGTTGGTGATTTAGATGAAAACTGTTGTCAGTGGTGTAGATGTATTCACTCTTCGCAATTGCACAGATTCATTATATCCTCATGATTTTCCATGCTACTACTCGTTATTCAGCAAATTTCTGTTCGTTATATTTCTTCTGAATCTCTTCGTACTTTTCTCTGCCTATGTGTACTATGGTGTTTGGCAACTTGAACTGTTGTACTTCTGCGGAAAGTTCTACGCTGGAACCCAGTCAGTCAGTACAAAAAAGCTAAATTTACGTTTCCTGCTTCCTATGCAGGTAGTGATTCACACTGTTCACAATTGGAGGAGGAAATTTTTGGGGAAACGATAGATATTCCCATTACAATTTGTCACCTTTTTGACTCTATAAATGACATCAAGAAAACGAATAAAAATGTTTAAAAAAATGTATGCTACTTACGGAAATGAGTAGTCGGAAAATAATCACATCAACTAGTGGCCTGACATTGTGATTTTGTTTTTCTTTCTGAAGAGAAACAGTTTTTCCATCCAAAACCGAGGCATTTTAAAACCCTGAAAACCGACCCAAAGTTCTAGACGTTGTTTTTCAGTTGAGTTTGATTATCGTAATTACCATAAGTCAAAGTAAGAGTCATAAATTGATAACAAAGCTTGTTTGTATGACTTAAGATTCTCTAAAGAATTTAACAATCTAAAAGGTGTATGGTACAGGGGTAAACTAAAACCAGTTTCTAGTAGGTGTCATGTTTATATGGATCCAAGGAAATTAGACAGTAAGATCACTTCTGATATTAAGTCTTTATTAAAGAATTTTGAAGGATTATGCTACCATGACGTTGTGATGGTTCGAGTCCTTTGAGCTTTCACTGGGTCGACCAGATCTCCTTTTAGGACATTCGATTGCATAAAGCTTTCATCAAAGCATGTCCATCAGGTCAGTCATTTGCTGTTACTCATGTAACTGTCTCCATGTGATTCACTCAGAGAAGTAATGAGTGGAACTTTAGAATACCGATCCCACAAAGTCAAGCGATGATTCAAATTCCGTTATGGTTAGAAATCAGTTTTACACTTAGGAAATATAAAGGAAATTTGTGACAAGCAAAGCAGCAAGCACACAGATAATGAAAACAGAACACAAGCTGTTCAGAAAACGTTTATTCTACGAAAATCAACTATAAAACGTGCGGAGGTCTAGTCTTAGAGTCTAACAGCCTTCCTTGTCTTCGCTAAGGTTTAGATCCTTCAGTTGTTGTACCTCTTCATCCAGATAAGTGACTCCCGAGTATCTTCCAGCAAGTAAAGAAAATAAAACATTGATTAGTGTTTATTATATAAGTTTTGTTTTCATTACATTGAGTTATCAGAATTTTTCGTGATATTAGTAGTTTATCGGATTCTTAACTATTCGACATTAGTAGTTCGCATTCGCCAGTTTTCGCCGTCTCTGGCGTAGACGCGATATCCGACTATCGACCAAAGGGCGTGTGTACTGCTCAACAGTCCGCTCCGTCCTCCTTTATGGCTGTGAGACCTGGCCATTGAGAGCAGACGACATGAAAAGATTAGCTGTCTTCGACCATAGGTGTCTGCGTTGTATCTCCCGCGTGAAGTGGTATAATAAGGTGAGCAATATTGAGGTTAGGCGTCGAGTGCTAGGTAAGGCGGGGAAATCAATCGACGAGACTGTGAAATTACTTCGACTGAGATGGTTAGGACATGTGCTACGTATGCCTAGTCATCGCCTTCCTCGACGGGCAATGTTAGCTGATATAGGGTCAGGCTGGAAAAGAGCTAGCGGCGGTCAAACCAAAACATGGCACCAATCAATGAAATCCACAACAGTTAATCTAAGCCACGTAGGAAGATGTAGACTTCCTGGTTGGGGCCCTCGAGATGGTAAAAACCAATGGTTGGAAACAATTGGTGACATGGCTCAAAATCGTTCTCAGTGGCGCAGATGCATCCACTCCTTGTGACTTATGATTTCCAATTAAACTTTTGTTCTCCGTTATTACTATTCCTTTGTCTCACACCTCTGTTTACTGTCTATATTATGCATTTCTTCTACTTCCTTCTCTTGCTTTGCGTGCTACATAGATTGTGGCGACTTGAACTGCCGCACATATGTGCAAAGTTGTATGTCGAAAACCGACCGACCGACCGACCGACATTAGTAGTTAAAATTACTGGAAATATTTTCTCAAGAATAATTTCAATGAAATAATTTATATGAACCTTGGACTATGTATTGAAAATATGATTAAATTGGAACAGTCATCTGAGAACTTCATAATCACAGTTATCAGCATTTTGATGCTTATTGGTAACCGAGTTCGCATTAACCATCCATCCTCTCCGAGTTTAGCAGCTCAGTAGAGTTTTAAACTAAAATCAACATAGTTGAAACTGTAGGCTAAAATAATGCTAATTTCTCTAGTGACATTTACATTGTAGACTTTACATTAACTGATCACTATGCATTAAGGAATTTTGTATATCTGGTCCTCGGTATTGATGAATACTGAATTCTATCAGTCGAGTTTGCAATGTGGTCACCAAGCTAAGTGGCTCGCTTTCTTCATGTACTCTAAATTGATGTTAGATGGCTAGAGGCCATCAACAGGAAGCACTGGACCTGGGACGTAGATGTGCCCTTCTGATGAGTGCCAACAGGCGCGAAATCTAACTCCACGGCCTCCTGCCGATTGCCTCCAACCATTATACTTCAGTTTAGATCTCACCGCAATGGCAAGTCACCCAGCTTGATCACCACTTTACAAACGTAACTGATGAAATTCAGTCTTTGTTAAAACCAAGGACTAGTAGCGTGAAAACGGTTACTCCCTAGTGACCTATTGAAGTATCCATTACATCATGCAATTCTTCCCATTAATAAACTTGAACAAAGCAAGAACAACAATTGTACCAGGATAATATGAGCTCATCTTTTATTATTTCGAGGATTCTTCTCAACTGGTTACAACCTGAACGATGAAAAATATGAATTACATTACATTAAAGATTTGAACATAATTTTCCACGATCACAAGGAGTAATTGGTAGGAAGTAAAAGTAACATTAGTCCGGAATGATTTAACTAATTACGAGTTACAAACACTGACTATTTATAGAATAATTCAAATGAACTGTGATCAATATTTGACAGTTTATAAATATTTATAGAATAATTAGGCAATTAGGCTTGGAAACAAAAACAAGCTGTTGTATATATATTTTTTTGTTGTCACCAAGGCAGTGCAAGATTCACCACTGTCTCTTTATGCGTACATAGGTTTGTTTTAAGTCGTCTGATAGCAAATGCTTCAGCAAAGCGTAGCAAGTTAGGTTTCTTTTGCTTGTTGATTATTTTGAATGACTTCAAGTTGTCTACATTATGACCAGTGTCTAATAGATGACGCGCAATCGCACTGTTTAATACTTGTGGACCTTTCAGTCTCAGGTTCTTTGGTATGTGTTCAGAAATGCGGACAATAATCCTTCTCTCTGTTCTTCCGATGTAGGTGCTTTGGCACGTACATGTAAATTGGTAGACACAGCTGGAGGTAACATGAGGTGGGTATTTGTCCACTTTTGATTGTCTCAAACAACTAGTTGTTTGATGAACACATACAAGCTTGGCGGCTGGATATGTTCTTTTCAGGGCAGCGTTCAGTCTGCATCTTATTCTACTGGCAGTATCATCAC